TTGCCATTTGGCTCCACCTGCCCCCCTCATTGATAGGGGGTATCAGCAGTGTTTATTAAGAGCAATCGATACGAACCACTGAGAGCAAATCGCATCTTTCACTGCAAACCAATTCCTGGTTATTGACCAAAACAAGCATCAGACGCTTGTTTTGTGTCCCAGAGACGCATTCCTTTCTATTTTTGACTGACAGTAACGGTTGCCGTAGCGATGGAAGGCAATTTGATTGATTTGGTGTCAACAAAAATAACTTGACAGACAGACTGGGACACAAATGCAGCCATTCACAGAAGCAGACTTTAAAAAAACAGCCCCTTTGTTTTAAAATTAAAACACAAAAGCGACGTTTTGTCACTTCTCTCCATCCACATGTTGTCCAACTGTTGTCAGCTGTCAGGGCGACTTCTGTTCTCTCAGAAGAAACCTTCCAAAATCATTTCATTCCAGGACTGTTGTGCAGAAAACCCGTCGATACGTTTCCATCTGAACAATTTCCTCGTGGAGCGTCTTAAAAATGAGGCATTTTGTCTGCTTACACCAGCCTGACCATTACTGCGCTCGACGCTCTTTGTGTTTGTTCAGTTTAAAGTCGATCCCAGTCGGTTTTTCCTTCGTTCTTTACCGATCCACAAAGGCTCGGCTGAGCACACAAACTGTGTTCCGGCATCACCTTGCTTTACATTTACACAGCGACGCGCTGGCCTCCCGCGGGAGCTCCCGAGTACAACCGGGCGACCGAGCAGCTCCGCTCCAGCAGATGGGATTAAGGGCGAAGACTGCTCAGTAACTGTTGCCCTTTTTTATTTTATTTTTTTTACATTCAGCACAGAAGCGATGAAATTATGCCTTGTCACGCGTAGGGCAACAAATGGAGCGGTGCCACGGCTCCGGCTCGGCACCGGAGCCGCGCTCACTGCAGCAGATTGGCATCAGCATTCATTTGGACTTCACCATAAATCATACATTCAGCGAGCTGCTTGACCACGAGGTGACTGGTAACACACATTCACGTTAATGCAAATGCACAAAACCTCGATAACGCTCACTATCTTCATGCCAACAAGGTTTGCGGTTTCAGCACTTTTCACCCTAAACCTCCTCCGAATGAATTTCCTGTCGGGTCAATAAGATTCAAAGTGTGTGTTTGTTGGGATTAGATCTCTCACAGCTTTTTTTGGACAGTGGTTCAAACAGCGGAGAACTTTCTGCCACATTTCCTGCCGTCTAACTGGAGTAGCGTTCTTAACAAAGGGATTAGCACCGACGTTATTTAATAATTTACCTGTTTTAACAAGCAGCAGATCCGTTGTTTTGTTCTCAAACCTGCAAACAAGATTCACAACCAGGTCTGACACGGTATCTTAAATGTTTATTTTTAGCAGTCGTGAGCGGTTTAAAGGTTCTGTATGCGGGGATTTTGAACATTAATACAGCAGCAAGCAATTTGCTATGAAAAGGTATAAAAACAAGTATTTCATGCAGTCTTTTCATTTCAGCAAATGAAAAATAACATCACTCTGGTTGACAACAGCTCTTCAGAAGGATTCAATTTAGTTTACGGGATAACGGTTGTAGCCGGATTGTTTTTTTGCTCGTGAACACTTGTTGGAATTGAAATGCAAAGAGAGTCACGTGGAGGAGTTCTGGTTTAGTTGTAAGATGCTGGAGTTCACACGCAGCTGCTTTAAACAAGAGCTCTTATTCAGTATCCTGTATTGTTCATCAGCAGCCTGGTTAAGGAGTCAGAAACACGTTGGAGAAGAGTTGATATCTTAACTTCCCAACGAGGAAATCAGGCACCTTAAAGTCACATCAGCTTCTCTCGTCCAACACTTTTGGTTTCGAGCGTCGTCTCTTGGAAAATGCCAGATTGCCACGAAATTTGGCACCAGCGTTCACACCACCACCCCCACCCAATAATGTATGCTAATTTAGTTCTGCTGTGTTGAATTCCTGCTGTCACCGTACAGAAGACAGTACATGCATGTAGGAGGGCTTTTGCAACAACTGTTATTGTTGGCAACGCTGACGCAGTTCACTTTTTTTGTTTCAGAGTAACGGACAACAGCTTTTTCTTTTATTTATTTTTTTTGTGGTAAATGCTGGATCCTCACTTTGTTGTGTGTCTCCTTCTTCTCTCCTCTCCAGCATCACCATCTTCGGCACCGGGGCCAAGTGGCTGTCTGTGCTGCAGGAGAGGAACCTGAAGCCCTGTGAGTTGCGGTCGCGACAAAGACCGACACGAGCACGCACAGACACACATGGACGCACACAAATAACGAGCTCGGAGAGGAACGCAACCGCCCGCGCACAAAACAAACACGGAACAATGAGAGCAGATGGACACAATAATGATTATAATAGTGACGCTTTTTGACTCTAAACGTCCTTTATTCCATTTGCGGCGCGAATCGACAGTTCGCCCCGTGTTCTGGTGTTTGACACTGAATCGAAAAGGATAAAAGTGTTGTTATGATAATGTGTGAGTCACCGATAGGTCCGGCTAATTGCTTTCAGTGACACAGCTCTCCGGAGAGAGAGACAGAGAACTGGATCTCTGCAAACAATCAGTCATGCCAGCGCTTATTAGCCTTCCTGCTAACCTTCATACACGCACCGCTCGCTCTCTTTGCTGTTTGTTTGTTTGTTTGGACGTGTTGTTACTGTTTTTGCTCGTTTGTGGAGGTATGCGCTGCGTTGTGACGGAACAAGGCACAAATTGTCGGGCCTGATTTTGGAGAAAATTCCCTCCATGGAGCAGAGCTCATTCTGATGGTGTTCCAACTTTATGACACGTTCTTGTTCGTGCAGTCGTTCAGAAATGATCGAGATGTTGGTTGACTTAGTTGAGCCACATAATTGTACACTACATTAAGGCTTTTGCACTCTCTTTTCATTGTGCCTCCTCTTTATCCTCCTGTGTAGACTCTGAGCGACTCCCATCCCAAATATAAATTAGCATTTAAACCTAATGCAGAGGGCTTCGCTGTTTCTTACTTGTCCTTCCTGTTTTTAACCTTCTTCTTTTCTCTCTATCACTTCCTCTCCTCTCCTCTCCTCTCCCCTCCTCCTAATGTCAAATTAGCACTTATAACCGATGTTTATTGCGTACACAGTCGCTCTGTGTCCCAGTGCTCGATTTATAATCACCACAAATCTTTATTCATGGCCTCTACTGTGTGTGTGTGTGTGTGTGTGTGTGTGCAACTTTTAAATTAGCTGAACACATTCCCAGTTCTGTTGCTAAACAGGAAGGCATGAAAAACAAAATCTTTCAAAAAAACAAACACAAACCCATTGCTCCCTGTCAGTCTCTTTCCTCTCTACCTCTGCCCCACCCCCATTAGCCAGCTAGCCACTTGATCCAGTTGGCACCGTGTGTGTGTGCGCATTTGGATGCTTATTAGAGAAAGAGAGCATGGCAAAGGCAGAGTTTTGTGTGTGTGTGTGTGTTAAAGTGTGTGTGTGCGAGTGAGCAAGCATGCCACCACTGGGCCAGGGAGGATAGGGGGAGCTTCTTCACTGGCTGCCCCAGCGGAGAGGCCCTTTTCCCTGGGCTGACATTTGGACTGGACACCTGGAGGCATGGTGGGGGGTAGCAAGAGTCCCCACTGGGTGTGTGTGTGTGTGTGTGTGTGTCGGGGTCGGTTTGCTGCAAGCTTATTAGTTCGCACAGTGTTATTGGCTTGTGGTTTGGGCATGCGTGTGCGACGGAGAGCGTGCACACGGATCTGGAGGCGTGCACGCGCTGGTACATGTAAGCTGTGTCGCATCAGGGTGGCGGACTGTAATAACACACCATGTTGGGGTGCAGGGAGACACAGCTGCTCACAGGTGCATGCTCATTTCATAAACCGCATACGTGTTTGTGTGCAGATTCTGAATTTGACTGAAATGATTGCAGCTGATTTATTTTTTTATGGATACAGGAGCCGCTATAACCAAATTGTTGCAATGATCCCCCCAAAAAAAGCCTCATTTTCTGGCTTAGATTACAAAATAAATGTTCAGAAATCACACAGACACGATACTTACAAGTTATCCAGAAAGTGTTAAATACAACGACACGCTAACAGGACTCATCCTGCACAGTTTGCAATTTTTGATTCATCTTTTATCCCTTTTCATTTATTTTGTTTTTTTGCTTTTTCCCCTCAGCGGAAACTCACAACCTGCAGTCTCTCCACACCATCCTGTCTACCGGATCTCCCCTCAAACCTCAGAGCTACGACTACGTCTACCGCTGCATCAAGAGCAACGTGCTGCTGGGCTCCATCTCAGGTGACTGACAAATGCAGAGACACATTTTTGTCATTTTTCCCAAATACTTCATTTCAATTTTAGGTTTCAAACTGAAGCAGCTTTTCCCCCAAAACCTGGTGTCTGCCGCGGAGACACCGGCGGTTATCCACAGCGTGTCATTCTGCAGAAATGGAACAAAACCTGCCCTGCACATAAACAGACAATTGGAAATAGTTTAAACTGCAGAAGGACTGCAGCCAAAAAACCTGCTCGTCTTGAACCTAGTTTTGTATCTGAATTGGCTTAAAGCATGCTCTACATTTAAACTTTTTGATATTTGTTAATTCATACACGCTCTATGTTTAAATCTTTTAAAGTTTCAAACGATATTAAGTCTAACTTTTATCCAGCTGCATTTGTATCCTGAGCAGTTGTTGATTCGCTCTAAAACTCTAAAAAACTGAGCTGCCAGCTTTAAACACGAGGACACTAACGGATGGATCGCGCTGTGAACACAAGTGTAAAACAGAATGAGGGTTGTTTTGTATGAGGAGTAGAACTGTGGATAGATGAGAGCAGCAGATAAAAAGAAAATGGCTTTGATTTGCATTTTTTTTTATGCAGCTGTCTGTTGTTTTTCTCAACTTTGTCAAGTGTCAATCACGATTTCTGTCAAACTACGGTGACACACTGCTGACAGATGTGACTGAAGCCTGTTTTCCTTTGCCTAATTTGAGTCCTTTCTATCAGGACAGTAAAACTTTACTTTTCAATCGTATAACAATCAGCGAGTGCTGCTATTATTACCCCGAACACTGAATATATCTCTCGTCCTGTTGTAATAACATTAAATATACACGCAGATCCTTAATAGTTATTATTTCTAGTTGTTAAAGACCAGATTTCCTGCTGGTTTGGATTTTATTTTGTGGCGTTCGTTCACCTCTGAGTTTCAAAAACCCACTGATCACACGATAATCTATCACGCTCACATAGAAATAAAACTCTGGCTGTTTGGGTTCTTTTTTAAATGTGATTCAGCCCCACCTGGCTGCGATATCACCTTCTTGATCTCATTTTGTTTGAGGGTTAGATTATTGTTGCTTGGCAACTGAAGAGAAATTGACTGCAAGTCTGAAAGGCTGCTGGTTTGATGTAGTTCACTGGGACCCTCAGACATGCTGGACGTAGGATGTTAGACCAGCGATGGTTTCAGACGGTGCAGCATTTAAAGGGATAGAACGCTAAATATGCATTTAAAATAAAAATGTTAGTATTGTTCTTGCTTAGCAGTGAGTTTTGCTTTCATGTTTTTACATATCTGATGGTTTTGATCCTTATTTTTACAGTTTATTCTGTTAATAATAATAACGCACTTATTTAAATGCAAATTTTGTATTTAAATGAGGATTATTTCTTGATATTATTCGAATTATCTGTAAAAAATTGAAAAGGAAGCCATTCAAGGAAACTATAAATGACCAAAAAACGAATCGAGTACATTTAAAATCAAACATGATTAATTTAAACGGACAAAAGATGGTTTTGTTGAATAACATCTCTGCTTAACTCATTTACAAAAACACATTTTTTTGGCTTCTGGTGGCGTTCACTAAAAACCTTGTCATTAGGTAATAATATTAAACCTGTGAAGTTGTTTCAAAACATGATTTGGTCGCCAAACACCTCGCTTTGGAAAAGACTCGACAGACAGGTGACAAGCTGAAGGAATCACTGAGCGGAGGAACACAACAAACGCAGGTGCTTCTACGCAGGTGCGCTGTACGGTACAATTAGCAGCCAACTATGCTCGTAGAACGTAGAAAAATGCTGAATTTAATCTGTCAAGGTGGCAAGAGAAAACGGTTTAAGTGACTTGGAAAGACGGTTCATTGTTGGGGCGCAGATGGCAGCCGGCTCGTGTTTCACCAGGAACTTAAGTCATATCTGCATTTAAGAGAATAGAATAGAATAGAATGCCTTTATTGTCACTATACACAAGTACAATGAGATTAAATCAGCTGGAAAGACATACAGTAAAGAGGAAACTAGATATTGTGGTCGACGGTGCACATTTGATGACCGCTTGCTCGTGCGTTTAAGCAATTCTTCCTCACGTGGCTGAGAATGAAAAGCAAGAACAGTTTGTTGACGATTACACAGAGAGAGACGTCGTAACGGGTCGGCAGGACAACAGATGAAGGTTCAGTGGTGCAAAAGCCATCGGCGCTGGTCTATGGAGTTGTGCAGAAAGGTTACGTGGCCATCCATCACCATGTCCTCGATGGCAGTGGTTTGGGTCATTGAGTGGTTCTGAGTGATCGCCTCCGTCCCACGATGAAGCGTTTCTATTGTGTTGGGAGCGACGATGGCCCCATCCACAGGGCACGAGGGGTCACTGAGTAGCTTGATGAATATGAAGATGATGTGACTTATGTGTTATGGCCGACTGGTGGACGGCACGCTCCCCCTCCATGATCTAAACAACAAATGAGGGGATGTCTGTTGGAAGAACTGCGTCCCGTCAGACCAGCAGTATCTGTAGAGTCACCGTCCTGGTAGCACGCTGTGGACCAGCACCGTCCTAAATCACTTTGTGCTGGTTTCTCCTTTAATTTCCCGCCCGTCTGTGTATTCAGTTTCAGCACTGAAACCTGTTTGCACCACTTTCTCCAGAACCACTTATGCAAAATAAAGCAACAAAAGCGTCCGCGACACAAACACAAAGGGAGTGACACATACAAAGAAAATTCAAACAAAATAAATTGTATAGGACTGTGCATTTTTTTTCCCTCACCACCCACAACACCGCCACCTACCCATGCATACTCACACACACACACACACACACACACACACACACACACAGACCCTCTCAGCCCATTGTGATGTTGACAGGGCAATAGAATGCTATCTGTCTCTCTCTGTGAGTCCTGAAACGTTTAACATTTAGCACAGCCTGGGTGACTGACGTATTACACACACACACACACACACACACACACACACACTCGCACACACACTTGAATAGCAGCTTGGCGCGTCACGCTTGCACACACACGCACACAGTCATTGTGAATGACAGCCCTAATGGGCATAGCGTGTAGCCTCAAATGCACACACGCACAGATGCAAAGACACACCTGGTCACGGCGACACGCAAGTCGACGGAAATGTCAATCACGAGGCGGATATGTGGCGTGAGATGAAGAGAAAACGACTGTCGCGGGTTATTTTTGTTATAAAATCCTTCATTCCTCTGCATGTGTTTTTTTTTTTATAGTGACAACCATTATATGAATTGGGTGGTTACAGTAATGACCAGGGCCGTGTTTCTGATGGTAAAAACTGAGCAGATAAGCTGACAATCATTTAGAATCGTCTCTAAAAGGTGTAACGTACAACACTGATTCACACTTCTCTGAAAGCTGAAGCCTCCATTGTGGAATTTTAAGCAAAACATAGCGCGGAAATCACACCTCTCCTTTAGCTGAGGCTTTTTTTTTTTTTAAAGGTTAATTGGTGCGTTAATGTTGTTGACGAATGAAACTGTACGTGTAGCGCAGTATGTTGGAGGTAGAAGGTGGTTTAATCCAAACAGCTTCTGGATGACAGTCGGAGTCCATCCTGCAACTTAAGAACTGCAGGTTGTGAGTTCAGCAAAGCGACCAGGAAGTCTGGTCCTCTGGGTCTGGGTTTCTCTACCAAATTACCAAATTATTGCTGCTATCTTCAACCAGCAAGGAGCTCAAATAATCAATCATACAGCCTCTAAACAGACAGATTATTTAGAAACAGAATGCAACAAGGACCTGAACCGCCTTTGTAGCAGTGTTTCTCCAGAACGATGACGATGCGCCGCCCCAGATTACAGTAATTACCTTCGGCGAGTACAGTGTTATCGTACATAAACAGAGTGGTGGGCCAGAACTGTGAAAATAAGACCCTATCTGTTATTAATTTGGAATTATCCTCGCGGGTTCGGTGTGAATGTGAGAGTCACAACGGCTCCAGTTCAGCCTCCTCCTTGTCGCCAAGGGCAACAGCAGGCTGCAACCCCGTCGGCTGCCAACCGACCTAACCTTGACCCCCGAGGTCAGCGCTCTGCCATTAGTGTGTGTGTGTGTGTGTGTGTGTGTTCTCAGGATTTATCACAGCATATGCAGCTGACTGGGGGTCGCGCTGACATATGTGATGGGCCCCTTTGCCGATTTCACCCTGTGCGACTGTGTGTGTGTGTGTGTGTGTGTAGGTGTGTGTGTGTGTGTGAGTGTGTGTGTGTGTGTGTTTGCGGTAAAACGTCTGGTTTTAGGGGAAACTCTTTTCGTGTGTGTTTTCCTGTCAGCAGGAATGTCAGACCCCTGTTGCTCTTCAATAGGCGATTTTAACACTTTCACTGCTGGATTTCCTCAATCCTAATATACCTCCACCCGACTCCCCATATGTCACCTC